AAGTGGCCCCTCCTTGCTTCATTCGTATCCCTCGATGGATAATTTTCCAAAAAATTATACGATATCTCTCCTTCAATGGAATTGTAGAAGCATTTTACCAAAACTAGACATATTCAAATTTTTACTGCATAACATACACTGTGATGCGTTTGCTCTCTGCGAAACATGACTCTCTCCAGATGTTAACCTTTCTCTTCACGACTACAACATTATCCGTCTCGATCGTGCAGATTCGTACGGTGAGGTGCTCCTAGGGGTCAACAAACAACACTCATTCTACAGAATCGACCTTCCTCCAGTGTCAGGTATTGAAATTGTCGCATGTCAGGTGAATATTAGAGGTAAAACCTTTAGTATTGCCTCGTTATACATCCCTCCGAGAACGGCTGTTTCTCGGCGAGCGCTACCTGACATCTGCTCAGTGCTACCTGAGCCGCGGTTGATCTTAGGGGATTTTAATTCCCACGGTACAGGCTGGGGAGAGCTGTACGATGACAACCGCTCAACCATCATCTATGACCTATGCGACGATTTCAATATGACCATTCTAAACACCGGTGAAGTAACTCGAATAGCCAAACCTCCAGCAAGAGAGAGCAGACTAGACTTGTCACTCTGTTCGAACTCACTATCATTGGATTGCATGTGGGAGGTAATCCAAGACCCCTATGGTAGTGATCATTTGCCCATCAAAATTTCGATTTCCAACGGTTCATCTTCACAGTGTCCAATCAACATCGCGTACGATCTCACGAGAAACATCAATTGGGAAGAATACGCGAACGCGGTCCGTGACGGTTCAGAATCGGTCGACGTTCTCTCTCTCTCGCGCGCTTCAAGCACAAACGAAGCCTGTACCTGGCACTACCATTCGCAAACGTCCTCCCACTGTGTGGTGGGACCAGGAATGCACCGACGTGAATAACGAGAAGTCCACCGCGTTTAAACAGTTTCATAAATACGGTTCCCGTGAATACTTTGAGCGGTATACGGAGCTAGAGGTAAAGTTTAAGAGCTTGGTCAGGGCCAAAAAAACGCGGTCACTGGCGTCGGTTCGTCGAAGGGCTATCGCGATTATTGCGATATAGTAGTGACGTCACTACTTGCGTGTACTTGCGTGTATCGTACAGTGGTTGTGTGAGTGATTGCTTCACCTCGGTAATCCAGCTCATTGGTGTAGTAGCAGTCTTACGACATACGAACAAAATTTCAAAACCAGCAGCAACGAATCGGCAGTTTGACGGACTGCTTGTTGTATGTACGAGGAACGTTACGAATGACCATCCGAGGCTGTCATAGTCGAACGAACAAAATACATGACTAAGAACGAGCTGTCGTGTACTGCACAAGACGGCAACGTTGCATGTCGTATAACAGCCTCACTGTGGGCTGTCGCTTATAGCTCAATCTCAAGGCTATCGTACGAAAAAGAAAGCGACAGCCGTTGGAATACTGTCATGAGGCAGTACTTTTGGTATGCCTGATTGTGTCTGTGCGTTCAGTGGGAGAGCGTTTTGCGCTCCCACTAGTTGAACAAAATGGATGTTTTGTCAGAAGACGACATGGATGACCATTCATGTCAGAAGAATGGTGATGTCATCCCTGGTTCGTCGTCTCAGTCTGTCAATGGGCAGGCTGAGAAAAGCTCCAGATTGCGGGCCTACCCAAATGACTCGACTGGCCCATGGGTTGTCTATTTTCAGCCCAAAAACAAACCCTTGAATGTTGTTCAGATATCTGATGATCTGACAAAGCGATTCTCTGCCGTGACCGAAATAACGAAGGTTAGGCACAACAAACTTCGTGTGACCGTCGCTAACCTGAAACAGGCCAATGAAATTGCTGTTTCCCAGTTTTTCACACTGGAATATAGGGTGTACATTCCAGCCTCTGATGTGGAGATCGAAGGCGTGGTCACTGAGGCGAGTCTGAACCCCGAGATACTGGAAAAGCAAGCGGTTGGCCGATTCAAGAACCCCTTGCTTCCTCCGGTAAAGATACTGGCCGTTCATAGAATGAAGTCAGTATCGCTCAGCGAGGGTAAAAAGAGTTTTACCCCCACAGACTCGTTTCGGGTGACCTTTTCTGGATGTGCCCTTCCTCAATACATCGAGCTGGAAAAACTTCGTCTTCCTGTGCGGTTGTTTGTACCTCGGGTCATGAACTGCCAGAATTGTAAGCGGTTGGGACATACGGCCTCCCGCTGCGGCAACAAGGCACGCTGCTCCACATGCGGGGAGAAGCATGAGGATGGCGAACGTTCCAGGCGGTCTTTTGCAGAAATGCTTAAGACAGCCACGCCATCGACCACTGACAAAAATCCCTTTTTTCTTTTGTCAGATGACGAGACTGACTCTGACTTGGCTGAGGAGGGAACTTCTTTCAGTTTTCCGGAAGGTTCCGAAAGAACCCCAAATCAGCTTGCCCAAATCAAGGAGTGGTGGAAAAAAGGAGACTTCTACTCCTCCTGGAATCCGCAGAACTGACTATACCCAGGATTTTCCACCTCTTCCGGGGACATCCAAAACCCCTGATGCCCCAATTTTAAGAACAGAAACCCCTTCTTCATCTGGGCTGTTCTCATTTGATGACATTGTGGACGGTATTCTCAAATACCTCAACATTTCTGATCCTCTGAAAAGCATTGTCCTCACATTGCTTCCCACTGTGAAATCCTTCTTGAAGCAATTGACTTCAAAATGGCCCCTTCTTGCAGCTATCATCTCCTTCGATGGATAATTTTCCAAACGAGGTCGGGGATTTGATCACTGTTCTACAGTGGAATTGTCGAAGTCTTATTCCGAAATTAGATTCGTTCAAGTATTTAGTCCATAACAATAATTGCGATGCATTTGCCCTCTGTGAAACATGGATCTCTTCAGAAATTGATCTCCCTTTTTATGATTTCAACATTATTCGACTGGATCGTGAGGATTCACGTGGAGGAGGGGTACTTTTGGGGATCAAAAAGTGCCATTCCTTCTATAGAGTGAATCTTCCCGAATTCCCCGGTATTGAAGTTGTCGCATGTCAGGCTACCATTGAAGGTGAGAGCCTTTGTATTGATTCTGTATATATTGCTCCTAGAGTCTCTGTTAATCGCAAACAACTGTTCGACATATGTGCGGTACTTCCCGCTCCATGGTTGATCATGGGAGATTTTAACTCCCACGGTACAGGCTGGGGGGAGCTGTACGATGATAACCGTTCTACTTTGATTTATGATCTCTGCGACAACTACAACATGACAATCCTTAACAATGGAGAAGTAACACGTTTGGCTGGTCCATCCTCGAATGGTAGCAGATTAGACCTCACCTCACCTCACCTCACCACGCACGGTAGTGATCATCTGCCGATCAAAATTTCGATTGCCAGTGGGTTCAACTCGTCAGAATCCGTTAACGTCGCGTATGATCTAACCCGTAACATCGATTGGACTAAGTTCCAATCCGCGATAGACGATACAGTATCGTCAGTGGAAGAGCTTCCGCCGTTGGAGGAATATAACTTCCTCTCTAATCTCATCTTCGACAGCGCACTTCAAGCTCAAACACGACCGGTGCCGCGATCGTCAACTCGTAAGAAAACACCATCGCTCTGGTGGGATCAACAATGCACGGAGGTTTACCGTAAAAAGTCCGACGCGTTTAAACTTTTTCGGAAACGCGGAACACGCGAGCATTTCAACGCATACACATCTCTTGAACGCGAACTCAAGAGCCTCATCAAGGCCAAAAAACGGGGTTACTGGCGGCAGTTTGTAGACGGATTGTCGCGCGAAACGTCTATGAATACGCTTTGGAGTACGGCGCGAAGAATGCGTAACCGGTCTACTAACAACGAAAGCGAGGAATGCTCGGATCAATGGATTCTTAAATTCGCGCGAAAAGTGTGACCATATGTCATCAGATACATTACAACCTGATTTCATTGATCATAGCTTGTCATTTTGACATAATATGATATCATAAACTCAATGTAATTATATTCCGGAATTCACAGATCCACGTTCTGGAACCGATGCCAAACTGGCCAAAATAAATTCAAATCATCTTCATTCACTTGATTCTACCTATTTGACATGATTTGACATGCCACAAGATACTTTTGCCTGAGATATTACTATATCCTACAGAACCGATTTCCGGGACTCCCGGAGTCGAAATATCGTAGCCATGCGTTATGGAAATATATAAATTTAGTCTTACTAATCATATTTCAGCTATCTGATATCATTTGCTGCACCAGGTAACCGATTCGCTTAAAAATTTAAAACATTTGGTCAAACTGGTTAAAAAAGTACAAAAAACACAGGCATATTTACATCTCCCAAGAACGAGGAGGGTTCTAAGGGGGTGGTATCTACGACAAAAGTTAGTTCAACTATTCCCCTTGAATAAAAATCCAAGCTTATGAAAATCGGATGAGGCATTGCTGAGAACGAGTTTGTTGAAAAAAATTCGTTTGTGCTGGTACTTTACGGGTTAATATTACATCAGATGTTTGTTTACGTGTCAATTTTTATGTCAAAGGTGGATTTCATCACGTGTAAAATTAGTTATTTCTAAGTGTGTATGTTTATTTAAATTACATTGTCATCTCTGATTTTTCACTCTAAATACAACATCAGTATTCTTTATCCGCATCACCCCACCAAAATATCCAATACATAAAACTGGTTAACTAGAATTAAGTCAGTCAAAGCCTCATTTACCATTAAAATATCATGTTACATGCAACACCTTTCGCAACAAACATAAGTTGCATAGAGACTCCACCTTCTACGCTTTTTCAAGGTACAATGAAGTTATATATGCGGTGCGTTGTCCATAATTTAGACCTTCATTTAGTCATACTAAGGTTGTTGTAACTCGCTGAGAAACAAATGGTGTAACTTGGGATATCGAGTTGTGGAGAGTTCAGTGTATACAAAGAAATATTTAAAAAATATATTTCCTAAATTAATAAAAAAAAAACAACTTTTCTCATCGTTTCAGTTCGTCAACTTCACATTTGGGATTATCCTATCCCGGTTATGAGACCTCATACCCTCCCCACAACGACCCATATCAGATGATACCGCACGGGTACATTCCTGCATCACACCATCACCACGACTACTCGAACTATAGCCCGTCACCCAGCACTTGTTACGACTATAACTCCGTTTCCGCACCTCCACCGCACTACCACCATCATCCGTTACCATCCTACAGCTCATACCATCATCATTCGTCCTCCATGATAAACGGAGCTGCTGCGGGAATGAGTTCCAGCAGCAGCCATTCTGACCTCGAGATGTCCTTGGGAGTGGTTGTGGATTCGAAAGAATGCTCCTTCCAAATCGAAGATGTCCGATCTACGAACCCAGCAGCAATGAGCGGTATTGAATTGGATACAAACTCAATCAACACTGAATCAACCCTGGATGATGGAACCCAAAACAGCCCTCAGACGTCAACAGTGAAGATGAAGGACAATGCCAGTTTCCAAACTACACAAAGTAGCACAAATCGTGTCACCTCTGAGCACGTCCAAGAGCTTGACAGCCTCTGCCAGATGAGCGCTGGTCAGGAGGAGGCAACGCAAAGTAAGTGTTACCCTCATGAGTTTAGTTGTATGCAGGTCATTAATGAAATTTCATTATTTTCAGAAGAATGCAACACCCAACTGGTAACGTCATCACGTTGTGAACTTCGCAAAAATGGAAAACTGCGGGCGAAACGGAAACCACGCATCCTTTTTTCCCAAGGACAGGTGCTGGAGTTGGAACGAAGATTCCGTCAGCAGCGGTACCTGTCCGCTCCGGAACGGGAAACGCTGGCAGGAATCTTGAAGCTTACTCCCACACAGGTCAAAATCTGGTTCCAAAACCGTCGATACAAATCCAAACGGATACAGATTGAGAATGCAACTGCTGCAAAAGAAGCCGCCAGCAAGGAAGCCGAGAAGAGCAAGAATGTGTCCACCGAATTTATCGACGGGGCTGTTGGAGGATATTCGAATGGATTTAGTGCGATGGGTCCTGTATCAGCCGTGGTGCCTCAGCCTCCCCCTCCTCCCCCGTATCCCACCTATGGCATACAGTACAGTAGTGACCAGTATGGACCACCCCCGAATCCGTACTATGATCAGAAGGGATATTGGTAGCGGCGGTAATGGGTAGCTTTAAATTGTGTACATACAAGTGCTTTAATTGAATACCAAAGTTTTAGAGAAATTTCCACCAAAAAGTTAAACCATTTTACTAGGATGTGCAGATAGACAGGACAATAAAGATAGAGGAAAATTTATCGTCCCGCTGTTCGTGTTGAGAAGGAAAGAAACTCAATCCCGGGGGTAAACAGAGCAGTATCGTGTTTTTAGGTCATGTCAAATGTCAAAAACGAGGGATCATGAAATTTGATAGGTTTGTTGATTTCTTTGGCGGTGGCTGTGTTTTCTGTCGTAGAACTGGAGAAGGAGAGGCAAACAACAATTGACCTGCAATAGATGCGTTGCTGGGTCCTATAATGATGCTCATTGTTGATGACCTATTTGAATCTATCGGTGGATTTAAGATGAGCATTCGTCGATCAGCTCAGGATTACCAAAGCGGGAATATTAGTAGGCGCTGATTTAATTTCTTTTCTAAGATCATTTTCTTCCTGGCTTTGATACTCTTCCATGGTCTTGTGCTTGCTCTTAACAAAGTCGACGGAAATGAACAGAACATTTTGAATATCGACCAACTGTATGGACGTGCAAATTGCAGCTCAATTGAGTTGAACTCCTAATCGTTTTAACCGGACTTCAGTGTTTTCTGAAGCACTACCGCATGATAACTGTATTTTCGGATGATGTAGAATTCAAAGGAGGTTCAAAGGGCTACGAATGTGATTCAAGTGCGTAAAATAACGGCTGATTTTAAAGGCCACGTAGAGAAAACGCACAGTGGTTCTCCTTAGAACAAAAGTTGGCCAAAACCTCAAAATTGTTGCAAATAGGCAAAAAAACAGTTGGAATAAATGTTTTTTAGCTGTACGTAGAAAACTTGACAATCAAAACGTCACAAAAAGGAGTATAGTAAAACCAAAACCAATGTACAATGGTCCAAAGACGTATTTAGGACGAAAAAATGATTGCGCCCAAACCATCAGTTTTAGATATATGGTTTTTTGGGAAAATTTGCTTCATATTTTTTGTTCAATCTTTTTATGTTCGTAAAATTAGGGTGGTCCATAAAATTGGTGAATTAAATATACAAACTTTTTTTATTATTTGAGATAGATCAAAGCAGTGTTCTAAAAGTTGTATAACAATTAATTCAAAGCCATTTTGTTGAAGACACAACGTTTTTATCTCTTACGGTTCATGAGTTATGATTTTTTTAAACAAGTAGGTTAGGGTGGCCACTAATATCGGTTTTCTTTGAATATCGTTTCATGCGTTAGTTTCTCGCAAAAACATTGTAATGATTACATTTAGAACTTTTGATGACGCATATTTTTGTTCAAGCAACTAGGTTACTATCTTTTTTGATTAGAAAGTTAAAGGCTATTTTTTTCGAAAAAATTGCTATTTTAAATGATCAATATCTCAAAATGGAGCAAACCGAATTTGAAACATTTAATTTCATTGAAAACATCATTTTTTCTTCATTTTTGGTAACTGGAAGAACTTTTTCAGTTTAAAGCATTTTATTTAATTAAAAAAGTAATATTTTTCAGCAATAACTAGCCATAAATTTTCAAATCAAAGAGATAACAACTTAGCAAAAATATGCGTCAGAAAAAGTTCTTAAAGTTTTTTTAATAAAACATTTTTTTCCAGGCTCATTTTCTGTAGCTTTGCGGAGCCAATATTCATTCTTTAAATAACAAAATTACTTAAAACTAACATAAGTAAAGCGGGGGCCGATTACTCGCGGCTATCTCGAGGTTAGGAGTAACAAATTGTAACAAATGGATGACAGGGTAGGGATTGAGAACACAAGGTTTGGAGTAGTTCTTAAAGTGACTAGCATAAAATTTTCACGAGAAATGATCGTATAAAAATATATTTAAAGAATGCCGATTGTCTAGGGGCCACCCTAACCTGCTTGTATAGAAAAATCATAACTCATGAACCATAAGAGATAGATATATGGTGGGTGTGTGTATGTGTTTGCGTGTTGATGTCCTTTAAAAAAGGCATTGTGCAGCTTGCTACAGTATACCGCAGTTATAAAACTAAGAAACTTGTTATTCCTAATTTCAACATATTTCCCAAAAAATCGCATTACTAAAGGATAGTGGGCGGATGTGTCCGTCATATGCTTTGCTAAGTCTAAGTGTGAAAAAAGTATATTTTTTTCTAATTTTGTAATATAAACTGTCACTTAAAACAGTGCAAACACTCTTTTTACCGTTCATTTGACGTGAAATAAACAGAGGAACATTGCTTCTCAAGCAATCAAGTTGATAAACACATTATTTTTTGCTATATTTGAGCAAAACAGTTACAAGAAACATTACGATTAAAAAAAAAATGTGATATCGCTACACTATAACAACCATAAAAATATATGTAATCAACAAAACTGCACAAAGCATTCAAAGTAAGATACTCTTAATGTGTTAAAATAGTAAAAAATATTAAAATAAAAAAAAATAACAAAACTTTATTTTTTGAGGTTTTGGCCAGTCAGGAACCACTGTGCAACGGTGAAACGATGCTACATGGGCAAAAAGTTGCGATTTTCCACAGCAAGGGCCAAATTGGGAGGCAGAAAAAGGCCACCTCTGTAAATGAAGAGTACGTTAAAGGGGGAGTCAGTTGGAGATAATGAACGAGCAGCAGTGAAATTATTTATTTATTTAGGTTTCTACACCGAAAGCTCCCCCGCCTAAACGCCCTGAGACCCGGAAAAATATAGGCTTTGAGGCTCTAGAACAGCATCCAGGGGTGTTGGCCTTTCCCAGTTATTAATTGAGAGCTTCTATGACTAGCAATACATGAATAGATATATTGTGTGGCAAACGCAATGATACCATACTCTATACTCAGACAAGGTAGACCATTTCCAAACTGAAAAAAATACCTAGATAATGTGAAAAATCATATCTACAGGCAATGGCGAATGACGATTGTTTCATGATTTAAAGGTATATAACTAATGCTACATGTGTTCTAATTATTAATCTGCATATTTGACAGACTAAATCGACGACAGGATTTTGTATAAACCTGCTTTAAAGAATATTAAAACCTTTTAAAATATAAATCAATGAAATGTGGTAAATTGTCAATTCGTCCTTTCACCCTTCACCCTCATCTCATTCGGTAAACCAATCGAGAAGGTGGTTTGGCTTTTTCTTCTTAAGAATAGATATTGAATTGTATTACCATAAAATTAGTCCTCATTCTACACTTTAATATGATTTACGAGGACTGACGTAAGGCAGTCATAAGAACAAAAACAACTTTATGGGGGTTAACCATGTTCGCTCGCACGGCAACACCCACGATACATTATTGTTAGATCATCAACTACTACCGATTCTCATAAAATTTTAAACTTACTGGGAACAAATCCAACCCAACCGAACATTCACTTTATCTTTATTCGAAATTAATAGCAGAAATCCATCTCCTCGCGGTTGCTACACTGCCTGGTTTCCCTCGGTATTGAGATTTACTTCCCATCCATAAATTTCCCTCTCTTTTCTGCATTTGCTCCGAAACCATTTTTCCATTCATATGTTGCTACACATCGTCGCAGTATGAATTGCGTTTAAGCATGGAAGCAGGGGTTATCGTAATCTCTGGAATTGAATGGGTTTTAGCAGAACGTTAAGCAGATGCCCTTTCTGGCTTCTGTAATGTGAATGAATAACGGAAAAATTTAAACATGATTTCTCACTTCCAAACAGCATTGACAATTTCATTGAGGTTTAAACAAATATTTAGGTCTAAACAATCACCCTCAAACAATCGTTGTAACTTGGGATTATTGTTCATGCAACTATTACCATGAACAAAGTTGAAGGTAAAGATTAGAGAAAGACCCTAGTGCAACACACTTGCACTAGAACGAATAATAATTTACAAGTTCACGCTCACACAAGTAGAGCTACAGGACATAGCTGTCACCTATAAATTGTAAAAATTGTTCCTAAAGTGCTACCATGAACAACGGTTATTCCGCGCAGCTTGTAATACCGCTCACTTGACAATCAATTTGATTCAATATACATACAGGTTCAATACATAGTGCAGTTAATATGAAAAAATACAGCAAATTTAATTGGGAATTCCGTCGCCAGAGGTGCTTCAATTTTATATTACTTATACTGCCGCTATTCGCATAACAGTCCCATGGCAAAAAAACAGCAAGTTGAGAAAAAGACAATTGAAATATTTAATCAGTTTTCCTTTATTTCGCTTCCGTATGCTATTTTTAATCGTATGTTCGCTATATATCTGTTCAAATAAACAAGTTCTATCGACTTCTAATGAAAAAAATCCTGGATGATCGATGTACCTATCTGAACAAAATATCAATAGGACTGACATGCAAATAATTTTTGATTTGATCAGCAGAATATTCGCATACCAGTCTCGCTGTGAACAGTGTGATATGCAGACCTAAAATAAATAGCTTGGCGGTTGCAAACAAAATGAAAGAGAATGCAATCGTGCCCTATCTCTTGTGTAATGTTTAACATTACATCAGAGGGATCGTCCATTAATTATGTCACGATTTTAGGGAGAGGGGGTTTGGAAGCCATGACATTCTATACAAAAAAAAAATGTTCACGCAAAAAAACTTGGTAGATAAAGGGGGGTTGAAAATTGGCCATTTTGCGTGACATAATTTATGGACACATCACGTAATGTACGTATAATAAACATCAGCAACTCTTATTTACGGTTTGACAGTTGATTTGGATCTGAGTGATGCGGAGAAACACGAAATGGTTGTCAAAAAGAATCCAACTGGTGCTGTCAAAAAGAATCCAACGATCGAGAGCTGCTAAAAGTGTTACTGTTCTAAAACAATCTTCGTCGGCAAGTATTGAAGTATTGTGGTCAATGTTAAAAGTGTTGTCCTTTAATTCAACAAAACAAGTCTTTATTTTTAATGCTCTGTTCAATAATTTTTTTTATACACGTGTGTATTAACAGTACATAATATTTATTGATCACATTCAAATAAACATGCTTCGACTATCGTATTTAGTTTTTCGCATTTGCCATACTTTTTCCGCGTTTCATCTATGTCGTATCAACGATTTTATAAGACAGCTCTTAAATTCGTGGCAGTTTGGTAACATTACTGGGAAAGGAACAGAATGCAGGTATGTTGAAAACTCTTTCCCTGAATTTTCAATATCATCCTCTCCCAGTTTATTGTTGTTTTACATCAACAGGCTGGATGAAGCCCCAATGATTTTAACCTTATCAACTATGGTAAAAAAAAAATACATTCAAGCATGGTCATAACATAAGAAAAAAACATTAAAAAACGTATATCTTATAGTCAATATCTTAACTCCTGCCGGCGAAAAACAGAAGAAAACTTTCGACGAAGCGCATCACGGGAGAGATGAAAGTCGAAAACAGATGCAACTCTGTTGAATGTTCTATGCAGTCCGCAAATCGAACCGTACGCTCCATAATTTGAGCGACGTAGAGGCAGTCTTAGCATAAGGTTATTACGAAGCGGTTGGGGTTGAACATTCAGGACAGTTTGCCTCAGGATAGCCTCACAATGTGTCCTTCCTTGTCCTTGTGTTTGTGTCTCTTCTAGTCCGGAGAAGTTCTAGGTCGATAAGTTGACAACGGCTTTCGTAACTTGGTAATCGAAACGGATCGTTCCAAGGCAATCTACGCAACGCAAAACGAAGAAAGCGACGTTGAACAGATTCAATTCTCTCGGCACCGTTGTTGTAGTTTGGGTTCCAAACCGCCGATCGAACAAGCGAACAATATAGAGATTTTAGACAGTAGATATCAGTGAAGTTTTTAGCTATCCTAAAAATGAACCCTAAAGTTCTTGACGCCTTATCAACAACATATGCAATGTGTTGCTTGAATGAAAGCTGCGAATCCAAGATCGCACCCAAGTCTTTCACCTGATTCACGCGTTCGATTGTCGAGCCAAGCAGGTCATAGCTAAATATTATCGGTTGTTGTTTTCGTGAGAACGTAATAGCGGAGCATTTGGCTGGGTTCACTACCATTCTGTTTAACCTGCACCAACTAGCGAATACATTCAGTTGACGTTGAAGAAAGTGACAGTCAGCAATGGAGCAGATTCGTAGGAAGATTTTGAGGTCATCTGCATATGATAACCGAGGAGCTTCGATGACCAGATGCACGTCGTTGAAGTACAGTTTAAAAATTAACGGTCCCATGTGGCTTCCCTGAGGTATACCTGATGTGGCGAAGAAGCTAGCTGATCTGCAATCTCCTATGGCAACTTTTAGTTGCCGACCGGTAAGATATGATCGAAACCAACTCAGAAGATTACCGCATACTCCGAGCCTGCCGAGTTTAGCAATCGCAATAGCATGGTTCAACTTGTCGAATGCTGCGGATAGGTCTGAATAAATAACGTCCGTTTGAACCCGATCCGACATGCTTTCGGTTATATACGATGTAAGACACAGCAGATTGGTAGTTGTAGAGCGGCCGACAGTAAACCCATGTTGATCAGCACTCAAATACTGCTTGCAATGGGACAGCAACGGTTCCATAATCACTAGCTCGAATAGCTTCGAAACGGCACTTAACGATGTAATTCCTCGATAGTTATCCACAGCTCGTTTCCTTCCTTTTTTGTGGATGGGAAACATGTGCGAAAATTTCCAGCAAGATGGAAATATGCCACCTGAGAGAGACATTCGGAACAGGCGAAGAAGCGGAATTAACAAGCTAGCAATAAGCTCCTTGTTCCGTATATGTTGCTGAACTGGCGGCAATATACTATACGCTAGAAACGATCGCCTCACTTGCACCAGATCACTATTTTATTTTTACGGATAGTCTCAGTTCTGTCGAGGCTATTCGATCCATGAGGCCGGTAAAGCACTCCTCGTATTTTCTCATGAAAATACGAGAGCTTCTGAGTGCTTTATCTTTAAGATCTTTTGTCATCACCTTTGCATGGGTCCCATCTCATTGCTCGATTCCGGGCAATGAGATGGCTGACTCACTTGCTAAGGTGGGCGCTATGGAAGGCGATATTTACGATCGACAAATCGCCTACGATGAATTTTTCTTCATTTATCGTCAACAGTCACTCGTCAGCTGGCAGAATAAGTGGAGTGAAGGGAGTTTGGGACGATGGCTATATTCGATCATCCCTAAGGTGTCGAAGAGTTCTTGGTTCAAGGGGTTGGATGTGGGTCGAGACTTCATTCGTATGATGTCTCGCCTCATGTCCAATCACTATTCGTTAAACGCTCACTTGTTTCGTGTTGGGCTGGGAGACAGCAATCTCTGTGAATGTGGACAAGGTTACCAAGACGCCGATCACATCCTTTGGTCTTGTGCTGAGCATCGTGGAGTCAGATCTGAGCTGTGCGATTCCCTTCGGGCTCGAGGTAAACAACCTAATGTTCCAGTTCGGGATATTTTGGCTAGACGTGATCTGGAGTTTATGAAACTCATATATGTTTACTTTAAGAATACTAACCTTAGATTGTAAGTTTGATTAACCTTGTGTTTAGTTTGTGTATTGTGCGTGTAGTTTTTTTTTATGTTTGTTTTCAAGATGAATAGAAATAAGTTCATGTTTTAGGATTAATTAAATATTTATATAATAAATCATATTTCAAACCTCCTTCTCCCTTTCCCCATCCAAAAAATTGTAAATCTCCACTAACCTCGAGACGACCGCGAGTAATCGGTTCAATTCCTTTAACTCTAGATTTAAGACATCATTCATGTATAATGCAAATGATAACTCGGCTCTGTAAAATTTATTCGATTGAGCCTGTACAAATAAATTAATATATATAACAAGCTAGCAATATGTCTCTTCAAAAATACAGATGGAAATCCATCAGGTCCAGGATTGAAGGATGACTTGAGCAGAGTCGCGGCCTTAGAAATCATTTCTGCATTAACATCAATTAATTATACGATTGCCGCTCATTTTCTAACAGATGGCGCTAATTTGCTGGTAGGAAACCTCAGGAATCAGTATGAGAGAAAATAAAAAAACGATTTTGATTTACTTTTTGTCAAGATTATCATGGAAAAAAATCACCGAGAACATAGAGCTTGATTTTCCGCTTCTATGCGGTGAGATAGAATTTCGTAATATTGAAACTATGTGAACATAATTAATTAAAACTGATCTTTCCCATACATAATGAACTACTTTTCCTACCAGCACAAATTGAGCGCGAGAGAAGGTTCAAGTCCTCTCTCTCTGTCTTTCTCTGTAGTCAGAACTGTCAAAAATACCTGTCATCCGTCAGCTTTCCGTCAGTTTCATTTTGGTTTAGCTCGCTGCTGTTTTTCCTCCTCAATAAAAGTAAATAATAATCTGGAAATTAGATAGCAGAATTCTATTTTATTACACGATGGTTGGACTTCGAAAACAAAAACTGACCGTTCAGGATAAAAACTTCGGGAATCCATCCAACCTGCCGGTTCCACACGTAACCTTTAAATGTGTTGCTATAGTTTGTATTAGCTAACAAAACATGAATCATTTTGTAGATGCCAGCTTTGAAAACTACAAATGCCAAGAAAACAGCGGCAGCATTACGGAAAGAAGCTTGTAACCTGAGAATTCCAACAAAAGGGACCAAAGCGGAATTGGAAAGAAGGTAAGACAGGACGTATATTAGTGCTGTGTAGGAAAATCACGCAGTCCCGGGATAGCGATAATTGGTCATTAAATCAACCAATTTTGATGTGATAATACACATTTCCCATCAAACTGGAAAACAAGTCCGTTTGTTATTTGTAGAAGTGCGAGTTTGCATCTTACGTCTTGGTGTTTGCATTAAACTTTTTATGAAGCAACAATAAGTGTGCCGATGAAACCAAAACGATTCAATGGAAACGTGAACGTCCCACACTATTATCTATGCATCACTTATTGCCATAGGAAAGCTTCTTCTAAAAATACGATTTTATCACAAGTTAAAATGTGATTCCACCGACTAAGCAACTTGTTTCTTTACTGTACATGCGCTGTTATTCTAGCGTATACTAGCTTTTCTCAATGTACTTTTCCCGCAACGAAAACTAGTTAGTTTTTATACGGTAAGTGCACTAATTTTTGGCCTAGCTCTAGTTGTAATATAGGATAATAGCTACTATTATTAAACTAATTTTATATCGCATACGATTGATGATATACTGTTGGATTATATTTTTTTTTTCATATTTTAACAGGATAGAGCTTTATAGAGCCAAGAATCTGAACACCACCTTGATTTCACCCGTTAAGCTCATACCAGCACTTGATCTAACGAATTTTGAAGATCTACCAGGACCAGGATTGATGTACAATGGTTTGTAGCTACAATAGTATACCATTATTTTGAAATTCGACAAGCACTAGCTAGATACAAACATGGAAGAGAGCTGCTGAACGATAATTTTCTAAAAAATGTATGTTTTGCTCAGGTAAGTTGAATAATCATTGGGCTTCATTGAGCCTGTCGATGTTGACAAATAAATAAATAAATTAAGAAGATAAACACCTGTAATAACAGAAACTATGTTTAAAAAATAGAAAGGATATTTCAGAACATGAATTCAACTGTAATTTCTTCTTAATTATTTTGTTTATCCTCTGGTAGACATAATTATGTTGAATGTTTTAGTATTGATGTTATATATGTACGTATGGATTTCAGATTGCAGATGATGTTTTCCAGGTACGTGCTTATTGTAGCGCGACCATGAAAAAAACACAGCTTTATCAAGTAAAGTTTGAGATATGCAGCAAGAGACAACAGATAACAAAATCAAATTGTGAATGTGTGGCAGGCGCAGGAAATTCCTCTGCATGCAAGCACGTTGCAGCGCTGCTTTGTTGTGTGGAAGAATTTGTAACTACAGGTTTGGTTTGATTGTCGTTATTAATTCTAATTTTCTAATAAAGGTTATCCATTTATGATATGAAAATGTTAATATTAATGTTCCAGGTCAAAAGCAAAAAAAAAAAAACATTCAAACTCGACCTTCTATTGTTTGCATGAAACTTTTCACAATTGTTTGTTTTAGCGTCTAAATTTAATTGATAACATGTTTTTACTCTTAGGACAAGTCATTCAAAACCCAGGATGTACGAACGCTCTGCAGGCTTGGCACAAACCTCCGAAAAACGCCCCAAAGGATCTTATAAATGAATCCATCGAAAATATTATGTCAAAAAGAAAGCAGAAAACATTGAGAACCAACTGTGCTGTGCCTGCTCTTGAAGATAACGCTCTATGCTTGCAAACAACTGATGAACTCATAAATATAACTTTAAATGCTGGGTTGAGCAGCACTATGAACACCAACAGGGTCGTTAATATGATTGGGTTAGCGAATGACCACGATTATGCTGAAAAGTCCATATACGAAATGACTATGGAGACAATTAATAATATTGCGCCTTCAAAAGCAATTGATAGAGAACAAAGCTCTTCAAATTTATGGTTTGAAGTAAGGAAATCTAGGATAACGGAATCTAAAATTAAAAGCATACTAACTGCAGTAAAAAGTAGTAAAGTCAAAAATATTCCGTGTAATACAGCTCCATGCAGATTCAATTTCTATAAGAAAGATTTGTCTAAGGTTCCTCAAATTGCCTGGGGCCAGTCTCACGAAAGTATGGCTTTTGAAGAATTTGTTCAAATGTATAAAGGTGACAACACCTTTCGGAAAAGTGGAATCCACGTTGATATAATCAGTAACTACCTAGCGGCATCACCAGATGGTATTTGTTGTTGTGGAGAAGAAATTTTAGAAATTAAATGTCCTTATAGTATTAGGTTCGACGTACCAACTAGAGTGAAATATTTGGATAAAGAAGGAGTTTTATTGAAATCGCATGAATACTACTATCAAATACAATTTCAATTACATGTAGTGAGAGCAAAGATTTGCCATTTTATAGTATATACGCTAAAAGGTATTCATTGAATACGATAAAAAATTTGTTGATGCAATGTTGCCTGAGCTACGTGATTTTTACACGCATGTATTTTGTAAGGAATATTGTACCGAGTTCGGTTTTCCTAAGTAAGAGATGGTTAATAATAGATATAATTTTATTTAGTTGTCAAACTTTCAACTTGTTAGATATAGTTTAAATATCGGTACAACGAAAACACTTAAAATAAAAATACTAAAAAATCAAATGTACGAAAAAAAATACGAGAAACCATCTAAACCTATCAACACACTTGTTAAATATAAAAGTGTTTGTTCTTTGATGGCGTTCCATGATGACCGTCAGGCTTTGTGGGGCCATGGGTTAATTGTTCATGTATTTTACGTGTCATAGTAATATACATGTGCATTAATTCGTTTTCGATGACTTCGCGATATTTGTTTTTATTTTGCTCACACACAACACTTACAATTTCCATCAACTGATTTACAAATAGATTTTTTAATATTAACTAACCAAAATAACAACTTAAAAATCCGCGGCATAAGCTCAAAAAGACTATGAGGAACTTTTTGAGCTAAAATTCTATTTCTCTTAACTAAACCAATAACTCGTTCAACATTAATTCTTCTTTTTGCAATAGCTCTGGTTTGCGCCACCTCGTTTTCTTTCATCTGACTCCCATTTTTTCTCGGCGGTTTATTTAAAATAACACCCTTTTCAGCTAGCAAATCCGTAGCATCAAATCCTCTGTCAGCCAATATACAATCTCCTTCTTTCATTTTTTGTATTATTCCTGATTTGGCCACAATAACGTTATCGGAAGCTGCTCCTCCGTAGAGTGTAGAAACAAATGTAACAGTTCCGGCCTCATCAATTACGATTAGAGATTTAAAAGTATTGCAGTTTTTATAGCTGGACCATGTCGCCTGTTGCTCTTCCGGCGACGTAGGCTTTTGTATTGGTATTTCTGTACAGTCTAATATAACCGTGTACAAATTTTCCCCACTTACTCTCATCCCCCAAAAATCGACCTTATTAAATTTGTCACTCAATAATATTGTCCAATACTTGAATATTTTTGAAACGCTACTGTAATGAATTTTGAACATGATGCCAAGAAAACTAAAATCAAAATTTAATCTATAATTAATGAGCGTAAGTAATAGCGGTGCCTTTAGTGGTAGATTTTGGAATGGCCAATCCGCGTCCAATTGATTCTTAACGGTAAAACAAAAAATAGCATTGAATTCCGAAATAGAATGACCCGTGAGATATTTCATGTCGTCATCCGACAGACTTTCCATTTTTCCAGTGGCCAAATTTATCAACTTAAGGCAAGATGCACGTTCTTCAGTAGACTCCAAATGTACATCCGTTGATTCTTGGGTGTCTCTGTAAGAAATTATATAAATAAATAAGCATACTTCCATGAAATACCTTAATTAATATAACTGCATAAATTATAATTATCGCGTACCAATTGTGATAGCTTTTATAAACAACACTTGAAATGCCCTTTTCGTTAGAATCGAAGTTTACCTTCGCAAAAAACGCGTAACAAGTTTTATTTACATTAGATAATAGGCTCTTTTCAAATTTAACGTAAGTTATATTACATAGAAGGTTTATAGCATAATCGTCAAAAAACGTACCTTGCTTCTCTGCCGTCATCTTCTACCTCGCATTCTCCAGCAACATCTTCGTTTTCCGAAATGACTATAGGAACGCGGTCAGTAGCTGTTGGATTGCGCCTTGGACTTCTGGGGGGAGTGGGCTGAAAATGGTTCTGTTGAGTTATTGTTCAGACTGCTAATAAATGAGGCGTAAAATTTGAAAACGGCACAAAATCTTTTATAACAAAAAAATGTAAGACCCTTTTCACGCAAGACCCTTTTCACGAAAAGGGTTCACACTTTCAGGATAGTTGGAACTACATGGCACATCGTTGATAATACTATCCAGTATCAATTCACCAAGTGGATCAACTTCCTCCTTATCGTTCGTTTCGGCGAATGGTGATATCGCCACTAGTGAAAAGTCCTTTAACACGAATACAATAAACTTAAGTGAAATATATAACATGACAATTCACTTACCTTTGATTAATTTTTGCTTTTCTTCTGAAGCGGAAGATTGAAATCCGGAACAGCTAGTGGCTGCAATCTCCCATCTAGAAACAGATAGTTAGTAGATAAATAAATATAAAATTTATGGTATTTGTGTTACCTTTCAAATATTGCCGATCCGAGAAATGCAGTGAGCACACACGAGCTGATCGGTATTTGAATTTTCCTCCTATTCGCAGCGCCCACAACCACTTCATTAAACGATAAGCAGGAGATAGAAAGCGATGAAACGAAACACTTGATGATTTAAGGCTAACACTTTTGCATCCGAATGCACAGCAACTCGTAGGCATGATAAAAGTAATCGAATGAACTTGCTCAATCAACCAATTGTTTTTGTTTTTATTGATCGAACACCGAATGTATTGATGCGGAATGTAAACAATCACAGTCAATGGTAAGGGTCTGATTGCCGGATAGTATGATTAAAAATAAAGATGAAAATGTATCTGAAAACAGGATGAACAATGCTTTCTGTACAAATTTAAAATTTGAATCGCTCATATGAAATGTTTTTATATACCAAGCAAACATTTGCCTAGCAAGAATGATGTTTTAGAGGATTTAACATTATAATTCAAATAAGATCCAACCCTCATCCACTACGGTGCTTCTCGTTATGCTCAGTAATGCCATCTGTTGCTTTATTTATGGTGTGGTTCATTTGCAACAGATGTCACTACTGTGCCTAGCAGCGCCCTCTGAAGGATTATGTGTCCAAAATCATCATTATATAATTAATTGCACCCAGCGTTTGATCGTTTACTGGAACGTTCCTGGCAGCCAGGTTAATATGGTCGTCAGTTAGTGTCTCATTAGTGAATACACTGGAAAACTTTTCGGAAAAAAAGTAGCATATATCCTGAACAGTGGCAGCAAATTCTCCGTTGAATTCCATAGACGATGGGAGGCCGGATTCCCTGCGTTGCTCGTTCACGTAGTTCCAAAAGGATTTCGGGTGTAGCTTAAGTTTGCGCTGGATGCCTCGTTGGAAACTTGAAAAGCATTCACGACTGACTCGCTGGTACATGTGATTCAGCCTCACATAATGTAGTTTCAAAGGAAGCGTGCGATACTTCGTAAATCTTCTCAATGCTGCTCTCTTGATTGACTTCAACCTACGTTGTGTATAACAGTAGTCCAACGTCACATAGTAATAGAGGATTTGTTCTGAAGGATAATCACGTAGACTGTGTGTTGATTTTTGTAGCAAAATAGTATAGCGGCCAATTTCCAAATCAAAAGGAACTCGGGTTGTGCACATTGAAAGACATTCATTACACGCTTTATTAGTAATTAATGAATTTAGTAGTATGTTTCTACAATTGTGAAACAGGGCACGATCTTGCGATGCAATAATAACATTTCCATAAGTAATAGAATCGCCTGAACAGAAATCATAGCACTCGAAAGTAAACAATACAACGAACAAACGAACTTGAACGAACTGCTGAAGGAAGAATGTAAACAAGCTTTGTAATGTCGTTTTCGTTTTTGCGGTGTAGCTACACCGGTGCTACACTGCCGTACACCTGCTTACACTACACCAGTGCTACACCGCAAAAACGAAAACGACATAAGAGTCATGTGGGTAGGTGCACTCCCAACACCATGTACACGTTATTTATGGAGCAAAGGATGAACTTTTGACAGCATGTATATGCAATTTGAGAGCAGTGCATTAGCAAAACAATATGTTTCATCGGAAAATTTTTAAGTTATTTCCTGTTGACTTGCAAAATAAAATCGACTGTATTCGCAATACCCAGATTTGGATGCATAGAATTCGCATCCGCCAGTCTATTGCTCTAGTGCCTTCAGTTTGACAAGTGAGTTGTTGTAGTCGATCATCTTACTTGTTATGTTATTGTGTTCATGTTACGAGCTGAAAAGCAACACTTGCGTGCGTTTACAGTAGTGTAAAATTTTTAAAATGTCTGCATTGCAATTATTGCAAGCATACGGTAGTGAGACGGAAACTTCTGACGATGAATTCATCGGATTTGATGTTGAACCAGCTGGTGATCCTTCATCATTTAAAACGTTTATTTTGGACAAATATGACGCAGACGGAATGCAAAACTCGATAAAGACACTATGGAGAACACAGAGCATGCTTCAAACAGCGGAGAGGAAGAGCTAGAGGATTCCGACAGAAGTTTTTTTTTTTTTTTTAAATCGAGAACAGAAAGCGGAAACGAACCAAAAAAGAAATACGGAATGCAAGTAATGCAAAAAATTGCCGCCTGGCTCACAAATTGCTTATCGTAAAATGTGGATGCCGGAGAAATTGTGACCAGATTGTATCGAAGGACCAGCGGCTCAATGTTCATGACCAGTTCTGGAAGCTGGATAAAACCAAGCAAACCCTTTACATCAGGGAAAA